CCCAGGGCGGGGCTCCGCAAGCAGCGGGCTGCGGGCCGAGATAAGCGGCAAAGGCAGCCAGGACGCCCTGCCCTTCAGCTGCCCCTGCGGAGGCCGCGGCAAAACAGCCTCCCAGGTGTCACGAGGAAAGGCGAGGTTTTTCTGAAACCCTTTAATGATTGGTCTGTTAGCGCTCTTGAAGGTTCAAGTTAACAGGTTACGGAATAACAATTTTATTAATTCAGAATGCTAGGGCTTTGGAATGGAGCTTGAAGATGACCTAGTCCCGACTGTTTTGCTGTGGGCAGGGACACCTCACACTAGACTAGGTTGGTCAAGGCCTTATCCAGAACTTCCCTGGGGAACCCATTCCAGTGTGCACCTCCCTCACAGTAACAAATTTCTTTGTAATACTTAATCTAAATCACCCCCTTGTCTTAACGCTACAGGTCCTGATGAAGAGTCTCCAAGTTCCCTGTAGGCCCCCTGCAGATACTGGAAGGTTGCAGTGAGGTCTCAGATAACTTTCTCTTCTTCAAGCTGAACAGCCCCTTCATAAGGGAGGTGGCTGCAGTCCTCTTATCAATGCAGAGGAGGCCACACACTCAAACAGTTCCATATCCTTCTGGAGGCCTCAGAGCTGGATATGGTGATCCAAGTGGTGTCTCACAAGAGGGGCAGAATCCCCTCCCTGGTCCTGCTGCTTTAGATACAGCCTAGAATTCTGACATGTTAAGGTTCAAGGACTGCTGGTGAGAGTAGCTGACTGGAAAAACGTATTCAAAGCAATATATTAACTCAAAGCAATGTATTAAAAAACTCTAATCCCTAACAAAAGTGAGCTTGAGATAATAATTTACCATCACAGAACACTGTTCTTACCCCAGAGTTGTCTCCATAGGGGCAAAGAGAGTTTGAGCCTGTCAACTGATTCCAGAAGCTACAGTGGAGTCTTTACTAACTTCTCACCCTTGTGAATTCACTTTTGTACTATCTTCTTCTGTTTAGGTAGAGCTTAAGTGTCTGTAGCCATATAGCTTACCCAATGAGGGGTGGTTGTATGTTGGGGGCAGGTAACTCAGAATATATAATGTGTCAGCCTAAGGAGGGTGATTTCACAGCAGCCGATTCCACAACAGGGCATTCTCCTTTATCTCTGTTGGTTTTCAGCTGCTATACAAGCTGCTCAGCAGCCAGAAAGGACCACAAAGTTTAATCCTCTGCAAGAGCCTTGCTACAATGGATGCTATTCCACCCACCTTAAGCTTGTATAGTGAGTGGGAAGTCAGGTATGCTGGCCACAGTCCATCCTGGGAGTAGCAATCCTATTTTCCTCTATAATTTCTATACCGTTATCTTTTTACCTCCAAGCACTTTCCCACACCAGGGAACAATGGAGGCCCATGAGTACATAGTCTGCCACCTCCAAAATACAGGAACAGAATGTGAATACTTACTGACATTCTGGCAATCACACTGGAAAGCATTTAACAATGCATATGGCTATTCAATAGGAAGCTTTGGTCAGCAGGCAAAATCTATGTGCAGAGTGATCCAGTTTGGACAAATCCCTGAGAGAAGTGCACAGGACCTGGAACCAGTGACTATGATCCATCACAGACAATGCATTGTCTGCCCTCCTACTGACCAGGATTCCTGCCCTTTCCTACAGGTTCATGCCGGTCTGGGGCTGAGTGAAAGGATGGCCATGCAGTGGTGAGGGCCTAACTGCACTTCTGTATTTATCCCTGCTTGGTACAGAAGCATTGTGTGAGGAGAGCTCAAAAGCTGCTGGATGAACTGAGCTGCTATTCCCCAAATTCTGGTGGCTACAGCAACATGACTTGCAAGAAACCCCAATAGCCTTGGTACAGGGACACTCTTGGCATTACTTTAAGTTGTATGTTGGCTACATCAGAAGGTAAACAAGTACTTATTTTTCATTTTCACATTCCAGCATTCTTAAATATGCTAAATACTTAAAATCCCTGTTTTTGAAGTCCAAGCACAAGAACATTGGGTCTCATCACTTCACTCCCCGATTCTGGGCTTAGTAGTTCTGAAGAGCTTGGCAGTAAGTAAGATGAGTTATGTTTTTTTTTTACATATATAACTATGCTACTGCTCTTTACTGAGGCACAGTACTACTCAAATATAAAGATATGTCAAATATAATGACATATATAGTAATGACATATATAATGACAAATAATTTGAGGCATATGTCATATACCTCAAATATAAAGACAGCAGGTGTATAAAGAAAGTTGCATTTTTCTTTAGCTACAAGAAGGGTGTCTTCAAAAATAATTCATGCACTGAGCATGCATCTCAACTAAACTACTCCTACTTAGGAGTGTGGGCTTTAATGGACTACTGAAGTCAGTACACTTGAAGGGGAGAAGCTTGTGTACAAATGCAGCTAAAACCTTAATCATTCACACTCACCATGCAGGCACAAAGGATGCTTCCAATCATCATTCCTTAGTCCCCAGTCTGCTGAATCAATCTGTGCATGGAAGGCTGAGCATGGACTAGAAAAATAGACTTCTCCCAGAGAAGATAAATGCAAAAATCAGTTTTAAAATCTAACTAATTCAAGTGAGTAACAAGAAATATTGATTTTATCAGTGGAAGAAAAAGTCAACAACTTTCCATGCTAGAAAACTCCCATTCTAAGCAGCTATTTCTAGCCCTAGAAACTTGCTAATGAAGGCAATTTTTCATATGGCTTCTGTGGCTCTTAGAAAAATGTGAAGATGTTTATAAAAGAAATTGCTGTGTATTAAATAAATTTAAGTAAAATTTTAACATATAGGGAAACAGTTTTAAATACAGCTATGAAACAAATCTCACCAGAATAGTAAGATTAGGGAAAATGGATGTGTGTGATCTAGTAGTTAAACACCTAAATGACATTGACTTACCTGTATAAGAAAATTAACTGTGTTGCAAACCCAGATGAAAAACTTGATCTTTCTCAGCACTGACAACCTACTATTCACAGCATAGAACATATTTCAACTTTGGAAACTCAGACATCAAAAGCATGTGAAAGTCATGTGAAATATGACAGCACTTTTTTCTAATAAAAAAGGCAGCATAAATAAACAACTGTGTGTTTCTTCATATCATTAAGAAAGACAGAGTATGCACCTGGTTCAGAAGAGGTTTATACACTTCATTTCCACCAGCAAAATTGGAATTAACTCTGAACAGAAAGCTAAAGAAAGCACAAGATAAAATGCTTGAAAATGTGTTTAGGAAAGTACACAGAAGAAATTATTTGTGAAAGCAGCACATCTAAAAGTTCAGATAGCTGACTTCAAAGGGGTGAAAACCAAAACAAGACTTAGGATGCTTGTTCCCCAAGACCCCTTTGGCAATTCTAGCTTTCAAATTCCATAAAAGTAGATTGATAGGGAAAAAAACCTGAATATGATGGTTCTAAATCCAGATAATTACAGTAAGATAACATTAATTCTACATTTATGTCTGGAATATTGAAAACTACAACCTCAGGAAAAAATAGAGAAACTTAAGTCTGATTTTCACTTTTTTTTTTAAATTTATTTTGGATTCATAAATTAACAGTGGTTTCAATTTCAACATGTAACTAATTATTTTCTGAACAAGATAAGATGGTACATTACCACCTCTGGAAGGACTTCAAGTAAAGTAAAAGCCTGCTACGAATTAATGTAAATTCTTGACTGGTACAAGGATCCTCTTTGCATTCTATGAAAACGGACATCTATTTTTCCCCAGTTGCCAATATAATACCTCTATTTCTTAAAGCAGTTTTGTCTGTATCCCCAAGGCCTTGAAAAAGATTCTTAGCAGCAACAAAACAGGACTGACCTGTTACCTAGTCTTTCTTTCTTTCTTCTTGAACGCGAGCACAGCAGCAACTGAACTCCCATAAAATCACAGAACAGAAAAACAACCTCACAAAATCTGAGTGGCATTGCTTATCCAGAGACTGTTTTACATATGATGGACTAGTGTCTATGTCTTTAGTTCTCTGGAGAAATAAAAAAGAATATAGCGGTCTACAAACATCTCGAACACTTACACAAGGATTCAGTAAACAATCAACATTAATAAATATCATTTGCTCCTTCAAAAGATTCATTTTTGAAGAAAATATAATTTATTTGGCTAGCACATAGTTTTAGTGCAGTTTAAAATGGGCAGGTGGAACAAAACCCTGAATACAGTCCATTTTTAGTAACTGCCCTTTTCTAAATTCATTACCTAGTAAACAAATACAAAACATCATGGCTTTCTATTAATTAAAATGCTCAAACAATCTATTAAAGAGCAGGGGTCTGTATGAAAATCCACAGTGGCTTGTACTAGCAATCTAAAAGAAAACACCCATATTTTCA